GAGAAGGCCCTCCCCCTGGGTGTCGCCAGCTGACATAACTTGGCTGATGGCACCCTGAGGAGACCCTCTCTGTGGGAGCGAACTGGCCGGTGGGAGGCTATTGGTGGCAGAAGTCGGTCTCGAAGGTACCCGGGTCCTGTGCCATGGAGCACTTTAAAGGTGATGACCAACACCTTGAATCGCACCCGGAAGACCACTGGGAGCCAGTGCAGCTCGCGCAGGAGGGGTGTCACACGGGCACAACGAGTTGCGCCCATAACCACCCGCGCGGCCGCATTCTGGACCAGTTGGAGCCTCCGAGTGCTCTTCAAGGGGAGCCCCATGTAGAGAGCATTACAATAGTCCAGCCGGGAGGTGACAAGGGCGTGAGTGACCGTACGCAAGGCGTCCCGGTCCAGAAAGGGCTGCAACCAGACACTTACTCAAGACGATTGGATTTTAAAAGAAAGTTTTATATGGAATTGCACCAGGGGTGAAATCCAAAGGTTCTGAGAGGTTCTAGAGAACCGATAGCGGAAATTTTGAGTAGTTCAGAGAACTGGCAAATACCATCTCTGGCTGGCCCCAGAGTGGGGTGGGAATGGAGATTTTGCAATATCCTTCCCCTGGAGTGGGGTGGGAATGGAGATTTTGCAGTATCCTTCCCCAGTCACGCCTACCAAGCCACGCCCACAGAGCCGGTAATAAAAACAATTGGATTTCACCACTGAATTGCAGATCTCTATCAGTAATGGGTTTCATTTTAGTTTGCTACCGGTTCACATGCGCAGAAGCGTCCAGGCGGGTGGGTGGAGCCTCCCGCCACCGCTACTGGTTCGCCTGATCCGGGGCGAACCAGTAGCAACCCACCACTGATCTCTATGCTATATTATAGAATCCTGGAATTGAAAGGGCCTATTTAGATTATAGAATTCGACCACCCATTCAACGAAAGAATCCTAGTAAAGCATCCCAGACAGTTGGTTATATAATCACCCCTTGAATATATTCAATGATGGGAGCCTACCATTTCTTTAGTTAATTCATTTCACAGTCAAGCTTTTCTTATTGTTGGGAGGTTTTTCTAACATTTAACCACGTACTATGTTTTTGTAATGCCTTTCAATTTAAAACTGAGCCTGCAAACCACTTAGATACCTTGGAACTTTTTCAATGGTCCATTGGATCTTATTCCACATTTCATAGGTTTACTAGATCTGGACTGTAAAAACTTTAACCCTTTGCAACTGTCTAGTGTTCATCCAGATTTCTGCAGTCCAAAGCTGGTAGCTGGTCCAAACATTTGTTGCCCAATAGCTAAAAGAGTGGCTAGACCTAAAGGGAACCAACGTTCTCAACCAGTAAGCCAAGACAAACTTGCTCCAAATCTTTTTGCCAAAAGAGTTATGGGCAAGGGAGGCGTCTCTTATAAACTAAAAAAGGAGCTACATCTGAGTACTGCATGAGGTTATCTTGGCCACAGGAAAAAGTGTTTTCTTAGTCATAACATTAATCACTTCACTGGCAAAAATATATGTTCTGTTAATTCCAAAAGTTTCCAGCTGATTCCCACCCACCTCTGCCTTCAATGACTGTTGGAAAAAAATGCTTCTTGAAAGATGTAAATCACATTATGATAACCTGTAGGCTCTTTTAAAAACAGAGGCTCTTTCCAGCATATGTGGCTGAAACTAAACTAAACTTTAAAAAGCCTGGAAGAATGAGGCATCTTGAGCGATATCAGTAAAAAAGCTATGTTGCACTGACTCTGCTTTCTAGCTCCTCCATTTTGCTAGCAATTGCAGGAGATTTCAGTTCCCTTCCACCACAGAAACTTTAAATCAATAGCAGCTTAAAAGCTACCAGATTCCTTCTTCAAAAGTTGAAACAGAAGGGGGATTTCCATGAGTTCCTTGCCTGTGCAGGACACTAAAGGCAAGAGTAAATTGATCCAGCTGCTTGCAAGGCTGGATGGAAAAATGCCCAAGGGGATCCAGGAATACATCAACAGATGGAAGAGGATTGTGTTGTCATCAGTGCTCACCCTAGTGAGCTGAGCGTGCTCCAGCTTGATCTTCCCCAGTCAGTTAGGAGCTTTTAGCTTCCCTGTCTGTGCTGACTTGCAGGATGAGGCAAAATTACCAGTAATGTTGCAACCTCTTCTCATAACATAAAACGGATAAGTTTAGATTAGCTGAAATGTCTTCATGTTTCTCCCCCCCTTCCTTTATCTCTCCTTCCCCAAACATCCTGGCAACAATAACCTACTTAGCTGAGTTAGACTTCCCAAAATGCTCCCAGTGACAAAGTCTGAGAGAGCCCAGGCTATCTACGCAAATAACCTGATTTAGAAGGTTAACTTGTAACCCAAGGCTATGAAAACACTGAATCCCCCTCTCCAGATGGCAAAGTTCAAAGTCCCAGTGACTTCCTAACTGCATGTGCTTAATTAATTGCTTTTCCAGCTAAAATGAGGGTAAAGGTAGTAACACGCGGGATTTGTTACATTATGTTCCTATTATTAGTCAAATTTATATTACTATTATCCACGTTGCTTTGAATATCAAAATTTAAGCATATTATTAGAGACATGTTTTTCATTTCATAACCCTTTCTCTTTTAAGATGAATGTGAATTCATATATCTGGCCTTCAAGAAAATTTTGATAAATTAGGATATATTCTGCATCCTAGAGCTACACATTTTCATTCTGGGACTTGTTATTTTTAAAAACCAAATTCTAGTTGTCACAGAAGCAGGAGAAAGTTAGAAAATGTTATTTTGTTTATTTCATGCCTTTTCACTGCTGGTGCAAACCTGCATTTATATTTTCAGCATGGAGATATATCATTAGCCTCGGTTCTATTTTCTCTGCACTTTATATCCACCTTTCAATTTGGTTGTAACACAAAGATAAAAGGAAGTCCATTACTATAAGCATTACAGAGATTGATTGTATTAGGCTCTTCTTGAATTGATTCCTTGTATTTCAGTTGGTTGTGATTAGAACAATGAAACTTCTCAAAATGTAGTAGTCCTTCCTTTCCCTTACTACTTTTGGAGGTTGCATTTTATATGATTAACTACTACTACTACTACTACTACTACTACTACTACTACTACTAAAGGGACACAGTGGCTCAGTGGTTAAGACGCTGAGCTTGTCGATCGAAAAGTCGGCAGTTCAGCGGTTTGAATCCCTAGTGTCGCGTAACGGGGTGAGCTCCCGTTACTTGTCCCAGCTTCTGCCAACCTAGCAGTTCGAAAGCATGTAAAAAATGCAAGTAGAAAAATAGGGACCACCTTTGGTGGAAAGGTAATAGCGTTCCGTGCACCATTGGTGTTTAGTCATGCCGGCCACATGACCACGAAGACATCTTCGGACAGCGCTGGCTCTTCAGCTTTGAAACGGAGATGAGCACTGCCTCCTAGAGTCAGGAATGACTAGCACATATGTGCGAGGGGAACTTTTACCTTTACCTTACTACTACTACTACTACTACTACTAATAATAATATGTATTATTATATTATATAGTATACATTACTGATAATAAAGACAAAAAAGTCTGGATAATGACATTGCAGTACTTGGAGATAGCAAAAAAGAAGAGAAAGAACTGGAGAAAGTCATAAAATACAAAGTCTGCCAATAGAAGTAGAATGACTGTGGCAAAAGAAAGCAAAGATAGTACCAATAGTAAGAGGTGCCTTACAAAACATCATTTGAACATCACTGGAATTAACAAAATCACCATCAGTTAATTGCAAAAAGGAAGCTTTACTTGGAACAGCTTATATCTTGCAAAAAACAAAAGCAAAACGTTAACACCACCAAATAACAATATATCCCTATTCCAGGTACTTAGATAAAAATCCTACATCCAATCTAAACATCTGTACTATATCATGCATAATATATCATCTCTAAGATGTTCTAGAAATGTTTCCCAGTTGAAGACTTTAAAATGTTTCAGATAAATAATAAATACACACCAGCAACCAAACTAAGCATTGTACCAAACAACATAATGTAACAATTGTGCAGTGTTGAATGTTTTGCCCTCTGAATTTGAGGTGTAGATAGAGTAGTTATTTGCTTTATGAATGTCACATTGAATGGAAAGAAAAACCCAGACCCAGACTGTTGGCCGAAAATGCCCATATGTCACCTGTGTCACATCCACTCCATACAAGATTATAGTTTTCCCCTGACTCTCCCCCACCCCCACGGTGAATCCACCAATGATACTATCAAAAAAACAATGTTGCAAGAGACTACAGCTTTTCACCAGGTTCTGACAGGTTCTGAAGAACTGGTAGCGGAAATTTTGAGTAGTTCAAAGAACTGGCAAATATCACCTCTGGCTGGCCCCAGAGTGGGGTGGGAATGGAGATTTTGCAATATCCTTCCCCTGCCATGCCCACCAAGCCACACCACGCCCACAGAACCGGTAGTAAAAAAATTTGAATTTCACCACTGGCTGAAACTAACAAAACATGTCTTCAGTAGGAAAAGAGCAGGAAAGCTGGGAGGTGAAATTAAACCTATCATCAGCTTAGAGTCCTTACGCTGCCACAAACAATTAGACTCCAACTCCTCTTGAATTCTGTTGACTCTTACCTGGTGCCAATTCAGTCGTATTTAGTATTAGTTGACTAGATTCTTGTGTATAGACTTGAAAAAAAAATTCTGTGCTGCAACTTAATAAATGGTCCTGATCCTTTGCACATGACATTTCTCTTAAGAAATTGGTAAAACCGGCAACTTAATCATAAGAATACAAATCCCATTGAGATATGAAAATCCCTTAGACACATAACACATAACAGTTTCCCCTCCTTAACACCTCTCACCCAACAACCAGGCAAGGAAAATAGAAATTATCACACACACAGGGGAGAAAACCACATTTCCTTCTTGCAAGACTTCACACATTCCCCAAGGCAAGCACTTCAGGACAACACTCAAGAACATCAAATCAACCACACTATAAATATTACTGTCCCTAACCTGTTCACCTTTGAGAGCTATACAGTCTGTTATGCTGTTAAATAAAACCTTCTTCACACAGTTGTCCTATGTATTCATTTTGTGTCCGAGTCCCAGCTTGGACTCGAACTCAGACCTTTCTTCTGACAATACCTGTGGATTTGGAAAGAGAAGGAATCAAAATGTCAAAAGAAATGTGACATGGCCTGTTGTGTAGTCAGAAAAATGCTTCATAAGTCCTGCAAGTTTGTTTGTTTGTTTGTTTGTTTGTTTGTTTATTGGTTCGATTTATATGCCGCCCTTCTCCGGAGACTCAGGGTGGCTTACAATGCATTAAGCAATAGCCTTCATACTTTTGTATATATCTGCTTAGTAGGGCTTTCGCCCCTCCCCTAAGCGGTGTTCTTTTTATACAAAGTCAGCTTATAGTAGTTCATAACTACTTTTTGAAAACTGGAATGCAACTACTTGAAATAAAAAAAAATTGTTCTAGAATTTAGGCGGGGTCTGATTGGAGCACAATCACAGGGAAATCTTAGGTAGAGATTACAGGTTTCATGACCATACAGCAAAACTCCAGACTACTATTAGGTGTCAATAGGTTTTCTGAAGATGTTTGTTGCCATCTATTGGTCATCCAGATTTATGCAGCTCAGGCAACAGTAGAACGGTTCTATTGTTAACACACAGCCCTGTTGTGAACCAGTAGCAAAGGTAAGTAGAACCCACCCCTGGTCCCTACCTGTACTCATTGTACACATACCACTGCATATCTTCTGATCTATCTAATATGATAATAAAGTTTGCAGATGATACCACCATACTGGGTCTTATTACAGGAGGAGATGAATTAGCATATGGGGAAGAAGTCCAGAAGTTATCCACATGGTGCTCAATAAACAACTTGCACCTAAACACCAGCAAGGCAAAGGAGATGGTGCTAGACTTCCAGAAGCAGAAAGAGGAACCTTTCTTTACATTTCTTTCTTTACACTTTACATCAAAGGGGGGGGGCATGTGGAGAGGGTCTCCTCTTTCAAATTCCTGGGAGTCCACCTTAGCCAAGATCTCACCTGGAAAAATAACATGCTCCAGGTGGTCAGGAAGGCTCAACAGAGACTTCACTTTCTTAGGGTCTTGCAGAAAAATCAGGTGGAACAATGACTGATGACTTCCTTTTACCAGTCTACAATAGAAAATGTCCTTACCAGAGGTGGGTTTCAGCAGGTTCTGACCAGTTCTGGAGAACCGGTAGCGGAAATTTTGAGTAGTTCGGAGGATCGGTAGTGGAATTTTTTAGTAGTTCAGAGAATCGGTAAATACCAACTCTGACTGGCCCCACCCCTATCTATTCTCTGCCTCCCGAGTCCCAGCTGATCAGGAGGAAATGGGGATTTTGCAGTATCCTTCCCCTGCCACGCCCAACAAGCCACGCCCAACAAGCCACACCCACAGAACTGGTAGTAAACATTTTTGAAACCCACCACTAGTCCTTACATATTATGTGATGGTATGGTAACCTGGTCTGACAGCTGCGGACAGAAAGCCATTACAGAGGGTAATAAGCATAGCACAAAAAATCATGGGCTGCCCCCTGACCTCACTGGAGAAATCGCCAGCAGAGTGAGGAAAATCTTCAGGGATGATTCACACCCTGGTCAGCTCTTCTTTACTCACTTACCATTGGGCAGGAGATATAGAAGCATAGCCAGCCGAACGAATAGGCTGGAAAATAGCTTTTATCCATGGGCTGTCAGACTTCTGAATGCAACATAACACCATAATTAGGTTTAATATGATAGACTTGCAGGGCCAGCGCAACATACAATGTGTTCATACAGGTGTAATATAATATAATGTTATATACATATATGTATATGGCAGGGGTGAAATCCAAAATTTTTCCCTACCGGTTCTATGGGCATGGCTTGGGGGGCGTGGCAGGGGAAGGATATTACAAAATCCCCATTCCCACCCCATTCTGGGGCCAGCCAGAGGTGGTATTTGCCTGTTCTCTGAACTACTCAAAATTTCCACTATCGGTTCTCCAGAACCTGTTGGAACCTGCTGGATTTCACCCCTGGTATATGGGAATGTGTGCTAATTATTACTTATTTCGGTTTAGGGATTTCTTTTTCTTTTACTTATTGAATTATTAAGATGTATTCTGTGTTTTGGGGGGACTGAACCAAGGGAAGCTCATTCAATCTCATTGTACACATGTTGTGCATTGACAATAAAGGTTTGATTTGATTTGGTTGTATGTAGGTACAACATTATTAGAACTTCAGGTGGATACAGCAGAACAAACTCTCTCCAGATGTAAAGGGTGGATGTGGGTTGAAGACTGAATTAAATAGATATTGATTATACATTTATATGTAATTTCCTCCATACAACTCTCCCTCCATTTTTTTTTTAAATCTACAAATTGGGACTTTGAGAATTAAACTTGTAAGGCTATTTTCCGCCTCCTCACTGCTAGGAACTGTAGAAGAAAGTTAGGTTGAAAGTTTTCCTGCAAGCCATTGGCAGAACTTCATGAAGGGCATCAAGAGAAGTAGTAGCTGAAATGCAAGAGGCTGATTTTCTTTGAAGAATTTGTGAATATATGAAGAATTTGTTCATTTGTTCTACTGTGCCCTATTTTACGGTTGCTAATATGATCAACACAGATACACAGATACAGAAACAGACACAGAAACAGACACACACACATTTGAAGCATATTTGTTTGGAACGAAATAGGGATCTTTCCCTTTCTTTTTATTCTGCACTTCAGTGTATTTATAAAATAGCAAGTTCATCAAGCAGAACAGACTGGTTTCAGTTGGCGTTACCCAAACGTCATAAAAATAATGTTAAAACACAAGAGCAATGACAACTTTAAGTCTGGCTGGTGGGCAAAGAAAGGGGAAAAACACTTTTTAATAACAATTCTTTTTAAAGAACACATGTTCTTTCCTTTCTGAGCTAAGTGTTAATTTTGCCAAAAAAGGCTGTAAAAGTGTGAAATTTAGCTATCTGCTGTTAACTCTTGCCAAGGTTGTTTTCTTTTTTCTTTTCTTTTTCTTTTTTAAAGCAAAGCAAGAGAACAAGAATAAACTGCATTTACTTAGATGTGCTTTGCCCTTATAGCCAGGGTCACTGAGGAAAACAGCCTCTAGAAAAAAAAAATAGTGCTGGCAGAAAACTATGGATTGATGAACCCTCCAGGAAAACTGCAGTCTGAATCCCAAACAGAGAGTTTATGATTAATTTTACAGGCATTTATTGTGCAATGTAAAATGGATAGTAGCCAGCTCAGGAGTTAAGCCAGGAGATGACTATCAAACAAAGCTGTTATATTTGGCAGCTTTTTCCAAAGCTGCTGTGCAAAACAGACATATTGAAACTAATTTTTGGATTTTACTAAGCACATACTTTTATTCTTGGGATTTCCCCTCCCTCCCTCCTCCCTCCCCTTTTGCCTCTTTTAAAGGGGGGAAAATATGACCTGAGGTGCTGATTGGACAGTAGTGTATATGGTTTGTAAGGTTAAAATCTGAACCCTTGAGAACTTTGTAGAGGGGTTTACCAGAAGCCATCTTAACTCCCATCTCCTTACTCAAGCCTTACCTGGTGACCTTAGATGGAGTTGTATACTTCTGAAAATAAAACTCTGCCTCCTGTGAAGAATGTAGCTATAGCTGTCTACAAAAGATGAGAAGAAGCATCCAGAAGCAACCATTTGGGCTAACAAGGAGAAATACTGTCCTTTTCAGCTTTTCTTGGCTTAAGGCAATCAGAAAAGCATATTTAGAAAGAGTCTGGCTGCCGTGGCATGCTTTAGCAATATAACTTAATGTGTAACCAGGTCTTATGTTTTGTCTATGTCAGCAGTTGGCAAGAGAGAATTGTAAATATGGGTTCCCATGAGTAAACAGAGATACGTATGGAAAGGAAAGAGGGCAACTCAAGTAGGCAGTTCTGAAATTCATGCCCTTGTTATTTTAAGCGATAAGATTTGAGTAACTAGTCAACCGTGCAGATGGTCTGGTTTCAAAAACAGGAAAGAGCCTTTCACTCACCCTCTGCATTTTTTTTTTAAATTTAAAAAAGCCAACTTCTGAGGCAACAGTAAGCACTTGGAAAGAGAAACTGACTTCGTGGTTAAGCGAGTTTACTTCCTTGCTTGTATAATGATTGAAATGTTGCAAAGCACGATGGGACAGCTGCGCTGATAACCGCAAACTCCAACAGTTATGATGAAAACGTTCTGAAACAAACCACGGAACTATCGGAAGAGATGAGAAATCCCCCACCCCCTGGGCTTCAATGTGTGTGTTTATGTGTGTAGTTTAGTGATTCAGTGCAGAAGACAAGTTCTTGGAAATTTGAACTTTAAAAGGTTTCAAAAACCATTTGTTCCCCCAAGTTTTCAGGACATCTTAAACTTCTGGCAGTTACCTTAAAATCTACATAAAATGGCTAAGAGAAGTTCTTGCACTCTAAAGGCTAATTTTTTTTCCCCTTGAGAAATGAAGCTATCTAGATAATATTGGTTTTTTAAAACTTCTGGTTATTTATTCTCTAATAGCTTTTTTTAAAAAGTGTTGATTGGTTTTTCTTATTTTGATCAGGAATTTTTAAACTCTTTGTCAGTGACTACAAGCTGCCCACGTTTTCTTGGAGAGGATCCATTTTTGAGCCAATTCCTAGGATGAAAAATGTTTGAAAACTTCCCTTGACTATTTTGTTGGGGTTTCTTTTTCTGGAATACACAACTGCTAAAACTAGTCTCAGGGTTTTATGTGCTACTCTAACAGAGGCCCTTCCACATGACTGCTGACTCTCAAAAGCCAAGAGAATTTTTATGCTACAGTGCACCCTTCTTGGGCTTTTGAAAAGTTTTTTTTTAAAGCAGTGTTTGTCCAGGAAGTAATTTAAAAAAAATAAAATAAAACTGGCAGCCACAATAGTTCTCAATTTACAACCATAATTAAGTCCAAAATTTCTGTTGATAAATGAGATAGTTGTAAAGTGAACTTTGTTCCATTTTATGACCTTTCTTGCCACAGTTCTTAAGTGAATCACATGATTGTTAAGTGAATGTGACTTCCCCATTGACTGCTTGTCAGAAGGTCGCAAATGTTGATCACATGACCCGAGGACACTGCAATAGTCATAAATATGAGCCAGTTGCCAAGTATCTGAATCACATGACCATGGGGAGGCTGCAACAGTTGTAAGTGTGCAAAATGTTCATAAGTCATTTTTTCCATTCCATTTATAACATTGAACAGTCACTAAAT